GGTTGAGGGTTGAGGGTTTAGGGTTTAGGGATTCAGGGCTTTCGGGTCTTAGGGGTTCCGGGGTTCAGGGGCTCAAGGGCTCGAGCTTCAGGCTTCAGGGCTAACTTTCGGAATCAACCCTAAACCCGAAACCCTAAACCCGAAACCCTAAACCCTAAACCCCAAACCCTAGCACCACTTCACCTTCCAGAGGGATGGCCGAAAATCTTGGCCTCCATGCCATGCTCTCTCGCATGTTCCGAACTTATCCACGCAGGCTCAAAATCACAGAGCACGCAGCCTTCTGCATCACAGGCTCCCACGCAACGCCCACGCTGTTCGTAAAAAGTACGTCGCCGACTTGAAAGTCTTGTGCCCAGAGACTCCACAACCCCTTAAATTAAGGCATATCCCTTAAGTTCTAATAGGAACCCTAACATGATTCAAAGGTATACTCCTTCAATAATTAAGGGGTTTTGGAGTCTCTGAGTATTGCTCCACGTTCAGAAGCTCCCGAAGTCGAGGCGATACTGAAGCGCCCAAAGCAGCTGCGGGCTCAGGGTTCAGGGTTCAGGGTTTGGGTTCAAGGTTTAGGGTTTAGGGTTCAGGGTTTAGGTTCAGGGTTTCGGGTTTAGGGTTCAGGGTTTAGAGGGTTCAGCGTTTAGGGTTCAGGGTTTAGGGTTTCGAGTTCAGGGTTCAGGGTTTAGGCTTCAGAGTTTAATGTTTAGGGTCTAGGGCTCAGGGTTTAGGGATGAGGGTTGAGAGGGTTGAGAGGGTTTAGGGTTTAGGGTTTAGAGTGTAATAAAATAGGCTCCCCAGCAAAACCGTTGGCAAATGTCTCGACTAAAGCCGACACCTCCCCTTCCCTTGGCCCCTGCACAGCGAAGTCCTTCAGCCCTAGATCCCTAGGTCTTAAGGTTCAGGGTTAAGAGGCCAAAGAAACCCTAAACCCTAAACCCTAAACCCTTTCGGCTTCTAGGTTTTAGGCAGAGTCATCGAAGAGTCCTCAGCCCCCACCAAGCCCTGAGCTGAGAAATATCAAGCCTCGGGTTTGGGGTTTAGGGTTTAGGGTTTGGGGTTTAGGGTTTAGGGTTTAGGGTCTAGGGTTTAGGGTTTATCCTCCGAGGCCATGAGCTCCCAAATAGTCGCCTGTGCTACGGGAGGAGTCATTGCCACGCGAACGGTCTCTGTGGTAGCATGAAAAAACAGCCTAAAAACAACACGAACAAACAGCAAGGAGGATCACAAGTGACACAGATCTACAAGCCCATGGGAAAAGTAGGCAGCAGGGAAGACACATCCGACCTCCTTCCAGCGAATTCTAACAAGCCTGATCCCTACACCCTATAATTGAACAATCCCTAGATCTTGAACCTTGAACCTTGCATCCTCAACCCTAGAATCTCAGGGTAGGTACATGGTCCCAGTAGGGGCCCTTAGATGGGACCCCTTATACACCCCGTATATGCCCACTAAAACCATAGGGCCCATACTTCAGAACCCTGTGAGGAAGGTGAAGGACCATATGAAATATGAAGGGACCAGGTAACCACGGTTAGATAAAACCCCACCCTAAACCCTAAACCCTAAACCCTAAACCCTAAACACTAAGCGCTAAACCCTAAACCCTAAACCCAAAACCCTAAACCCTGAACCCTCATTAAACCCTGAACCCTAATTAAACCCAAACCCTAAACTCAAGACCCCTAAAGCCGATAAAATAAGCCGTAAGCCCTAAGCCCTAAACCCTAAGCCCTAAGCCCTAAGTCCTAAACCCTAAACCCTAGACCCTAGACCCTACGACCCACACTCCATGCCGTACCTGCGGGTCCTCCTGCAGATTCGCGCGGCGTTGCAGGGCCGTCTTCGCGGCCGCCTGTGGGTTCGGGGCTTATAGGGTTGAAAGGGGTTTATAGGGTTTTAATCGGTGCTTAGGTTTATCGGGTTTACAGAATTGGTTCATCGAGCTTATGGGGTATACAGGCTTTATAGGATTTAAGAGTTTAGGGTTTGGAGTTTATAGGGCTTGGGGCTTCGACGGCCCATAGGGTGTACCTGCAGGGTTTTGATGTACTCAGCGGGCCCACCAGTGGACCTTAAGCCCTGGCTTCCTGTCTGAGTCCCACCCTATGCTAGTGCAGCAACACACACACACTCATCTGCTGTCAGCCCTGCTACCGCCTGCACCCTAAACCCCAAACCCCAAACCCCAAACCTTAAACCCTAACACCTCAAACCCTAAACCCTAACCCTGAACCCTAAACCCTGAACCCTATACCCCAAACCCCTATACCCCAAACCCCAAAACCCCAAAACCCCAAACCCCAAACCCCAAAACCCCAAACCCCAAACCCCAAACCCCAAACCCTAAACCCTAAACCCTAACCCCCAAACCCCAAAACCCATTCCTGGGGCTCCTGGCCCTCTGCTTCTTTAGGTCCTCCACGCTGGTGTCGACGTCGAGGCTCGCCTAAGCTCTTGGGATGTATGGGTTTAGGGTTTAGTGTTTAGGGTTTAGGGTTTAGGGTTTGGGGTTTAGGGTTTAGGGTTTGGGGTCTAGGGTTTAGGGCTTGGGGTTTAGGGTTTGGGGTTTAATTAGGGTTTGGGGTTGAGGGTTGAGGGTTTCGGGTACACACCCAAGCAGCCCGTTCGCATGGGGTGCGTGGCACCTTCGGGTTGGACTTAGAGCGTGCAACAACAGAAGACGGAACCCAAAGCAGCAAGAACCTAGACCCAGGAATTAAAAGGGTGCCCCTTTTGGCTTTAAGGGGATCATAAGGGAACCCCAACCCTAAACAAAGGAAAAACAAGGCCTACTCCCGGTCCTAGGAACACACAGTGCCGGCAGCGATCACGCCGTTGGCCTAATACGGCTCTCTGCGCAGGTTCGACGCAGCAGGCATGATCACATCCGTGAAATCAGGGTGGCTGTGAGCCTGCCAGAAGGAGACTGCATCAATCTGAGTTTGCGTGATGTACCCAAACCCACGCTAGCCCCATGGCGAATGTTCATGCTGAGGATGCCATCGGCCACGTCCATCTGATTCATAGCATACTGGCTTGCAACATCTGTGGCGCCACCGTCACATGATACGGATAACCCTAAACCCTAAACCCTAAACCCTAAACCCTAAACCGTGAAATTTGGCCTGCCAGATTTCGTCGCCATCCGCGAGATGGACATCTCTCGCAATCCATGCGAGGTTGACTCTTAGGGTTTAGGGTTAAGGGTTTAGGGTTAAGGGTTAAGGGTTTAGGGTTGACTCAAGTCCTAAAAGCCCGAAACCCTCATGGCACAACAGCCCCAAAAAATCCAACAAACCCCATAAAACCTGCCTAAACCCAGAACTTTAGGAAAACCTAAAACCCGCGAAGGACTCTAAACCCTATAAATCCCAAAAGAAACTATAAGCCCCCATAAAAAATCTATGACCCTACGAAACCCTACAGACCCTCTGACGCCCTAATCCTAAACCCTAAGCCCTAAACCCTAAACTCTAAACCCTAAACTCTACACTTAACCCAAAACCCTACACCCTAAACTCTATAAAGGCCCTAAACCCCTCTTAAAACCCAATTGAAAACAACCCTATAAAACCCTCTCTAAAACCCTCTAAGACCCTTTTTAAAACCCTCATAGCCCTAAAAAAGCCCTCAAGTCACCCTAAACCCTAAACCCTAAACCCTGAACCCTACACCCTAAACCCTAAACCCTCAAATCAGAAGCCCACGAGTGCCACCCAGGCGCCAGCCGCGAAGGATGGCCCAAAGCTGTGGGCCAGCGTGGCAGCGCCTTCAAAGGTTTAGGGTTTAGGGTTTAGGGTTTAGGGTTTAGGGTTTAGGGTTGAGGGTTGAGGGTTGAGGGTTTAGGGTTTAGGGTTTAGGGTTTAGGGTTAGGGTTTAGGGTTAAGGGTTAAGGGTTAAGGGTTTAGGGTTTAGGGTTTAGGGTTTAGGGTTAGAACTTTTTCTGTTAAAATTTCCGGATTAGGGATGTTAGGGTTCTAGGACTTTTTTGAATATGAGCGTAGAAAGATGAACCTTGCTTGAAAGAAAATTTAAAGGGTGCAGAAGTTAATTCGGTTGGCCTTTTAAGGTCTGTGAAGAACATTGAATATTCTCAAGTAGGATCCTCTGAGATTTCCTGGCGTGTCGGAGGTTAGGGTTTTATGGCTTGTTGGGTTATAGACTTTGCTTGGTTGAGGTTTCAGGGTTCTTGGGGTCTAGGGCTCGTATGGAGTTCACGGGTTGAGGCGCAGGGGTCTCGTCTTCATGCATCTCGTATCAAAAAGTTACATCAGCACCCAAAACTGCAGAAAGCTCGGCGGCGGCTGGGAAGAAGACATGTCGAGAGTAGAGCAGCGGAACGAAATGGGTCGCGTCTTCACAGTGATCACCCTCAAACGCCTAAGTCCTCCACCCCCCCAAACTCCGGCCCCAAACCCGAAACCCTAAACCCTAAACCCCAAACCCTGAACCCTGAACCCTAAACCCCTCAGGCCGTTCGGCGGTTGGCACTGGGGCAAACGATTCAGTACAGCGAAAGGAAGCTCGCAAGAACTTAGGCTACTTTGTTTAAGAAGCCCGCCCCAAACAAGAAAACATGTTCTTCCTTATAAGGGTAATCTAGTGATTTTATTCTCTTGCATTTTTCTGGGATTCTTAAACCGAATAGTAGCTCAAGGTACAAACTCTTCACTGCAGCGGCTATAGCACGGGTGTCCCTCCTGGTCCTTGCAGGGTCCGGGATTGCTGGGCTTAGGATTGAAGGTGTTTTAAACACCTCAAAGGCTTGGTTGGCATAGAGTTTCTGACCAAGATAAGGATCTCGGGAGAGCCGGGTATAGCTTCTGTCTTATCAAGTCCTTACTTGGGTCTCAGGGCGGAGCTCTGTTTAGATGTCCCCTGGCGGCTTCGGCTCTGTTTAGAGGAGCGGTTGCGCATTTCACTGGAAGCTGCCGAAAGGCTCACGTGAGGATCTTTGGCCTCCCACGGATGGTTCTTCAAGATAATCGTCAAAGCTGCTAGGCGACGTCTGGGTTTTCCAGCAGAAGTCTCCGTGGAATTCGCAGACTGAAGATTGCAGGTCTCTGCTCTCCAAAGGACAAAGCCTCAAGCACGTCTCCGATGCTCTTGCTGCTGCTCACGCGATATCCATACGCCTGCAGCTTGTTGAAGAGCCTTGGCCGTGCAAGCTGACTGCACATTCACAGACATGTTAGGAAGCTTGGGAATTGCATTTGGAACAGGACGCCTGCGAAAACATAAACAAAAGTTGTGGACCAGACTAGGCATGCTACGTCGCGGGCCTCTGTGTACCTGCAATGCCAACCTCCTGCACGGTCTTCACTTCGAAACCTGTTGGCGTGAACACGATGATGGAATCTTCCGAGGCCTTGTTCACTTTAAAATTTTCTCCAACTATACCGCTACCAGACCGCACTTCGACCAAGTAGTCCATGTACTCAGTGGCAAGCTCACGTTGTATCACCTGCCCGGCTCTCGGGACGAATTCTTGTGGTATCTGGGAACTCTGCGCCCTTCAAACCAAATACAGTCATGAATTCGGTACCAGAACAGTAGAGACAGAAAGACATCAAAGGGACCATCCAGCAACTACCCCGGGGCGCAAGCATCCCGTGTGAAAGTCCTTGAACCTCAGAAAGGACTCAAGGATCGGCGGGTGGTACGAATGCAAGCTCAAATCGTCCAATCTTCGGGACTTTAAACAAGGTCCTGACTTCCCTTTGTTTGCACATATGCCGAAAAAAGGAATAAGGGTACTGCTGGGGGTCCCAACTTGATTGCCCTGGACTGGATGTGTCGTATTTGCTTTGTGGGAGCGGTGGGGGGGAGAGGTTGCTTGAAAGAAACCCTAAACCCTAAACCCTAAACCCTACAACAAAGAAACCGGAGATTCCACTCCATGCCGAGGCATTCCACTAAGTTGCTTGAAGCTCCCAATAACAGCAACCCGGTTTGACAAGCACCAGCACACCGAAAATGATTTCTTCATGTCCATTGTAAGGTGTCATCCTTGAGATGTGGGCTACCTGGGTGACGCCTGTAGCAGCAAGCTTGAACTCAAAACTCCTGTACGACTCCTATGTCTACTGCATATCTTCAGAGAGCTTTGCCACTGTGTGGGACTGAGGAAAGGATTACGCTTGACACATATCCCTTTAGTAGCAAACAAAGCTGTGTGGGCACCCCCCCCCCCCCCCCCAAACCCCGCAGTACCAAGCACAGTTTCGTGCAAGCCCAGAGAAGGACTTGGAGCCCAAAGGCTTCAGCCAGTTCTTCTGGCCCGTGATTCTGTAGCTAAGGGTCCTGGAGACGCATGGGTATTTTCCCAAAATGGGGGGGTACCCATTTATATTTGCCCCCCCCCTAGCCAATAGAATAGATTTCCTTAAAGGGATCCTCAAACAGGGTAACCCCTATTTTCGGAAACCCACCCACATCTACCTCCGCGCGGGACTCGGCCAAGGCAACTATGGATCGCGCCAGCGCCATCGACTGAGGAGTCTTCCCAGGTAGTCCCCCGGAAGCGCGGGCCTCTGGATGCTAACGCCTTCTCAAGCCAAGCTGCCGTGCATGCAGTTTAAGGCAAGAGGAACATGCAGCCTGTAGCTACCAACTAACAAAGCTGAAAAACCCCCTAACCCTGCAAACCCTAAAAGGTTTCCCGTTGCAAGACCATGCTGGGGGGTCGCTGCACTTCTAGCCGTGCAAGGGGTAGGATGTAGCTAGGGTTTGGGGCTTAGGTTCTGTTATGCGCCTCGTTGAAACACAAACCCTGAGACAGTGTTACTTTTTTCCTCTTCCGGTATTGTAAGCCCTAAACCAAGAAGGGTCTACGGCGTTTATGGGTTCAGGGGATGGAGTGCCTGGGCTTATCAAGGCTTTATTGCCTAAACCCCACACCCTAAACCCTAAACCCTAAACCCTCAACCCCTGTACCACCAAACACTCAACCCAAACCCTCATCCATACACCCATATAAACCCCAAACCCGAAATACCAAAACTCAGAAACCACCCAAACCCTCATCCATACACCCATACAAACCCCAAACCCCAAATACCAAAAACTCAGAAACAACCCAAACCCCAAACCCCAAACCCCAAACCCCAAACCCCAAACCCCAAACCCCAAACCCCAAACCCCAAACCCCAAACCCGAAACCCCAAACCCCAAACCCCAAACCCCAAACCCTAAACCCTAAACCCTAAGTCCGCAGCCTGGAACAGGCTGTGCTCCCGCCGCAGGGATGCCGCCGTGGCGGCGGAGAGCACGCAAAGGCCATTCCCGGCCTGATAGTCCTTTGAACCACGAAGCTCAAAAAGAGGGTTTAGGGTTTAGGGTTTAGGGTTTTAGGGTTTAGGGTTTAGGGTTAGGGGTTTGGGGCTTGGAGGTTAGAGCTTAAGCTCTATAGGGCGGCGTTTCAGGGCTTAGGCAATGAAAGTCTTTAGACCCGACTCCTCGACTTCGTCAAGCAACTTGAGAGAGAGAGAGAGAGAGAGAGTTGAGACTAAACCCTAAACCCTAAACCCTAAATCCTGAATCCTAAACCCTAAACCCAAATCCTAAACCCTAAACCCGACATTATCGAGGCAGCGCAACCCGAAGCTGGACCAGCCGTAGGTATGGCTGATTCCGAGCTTCTTGGGCCCATTTGAGGGTTTCCGGGTTTAGGGTTTGGGGGTTTTAATCCCCCCAACAGACTAGAACCCCCTTAAAGGGATCCCAAAAAGGGTGCTCCTTTTTTCATTTGAGGGTTAAAGGTTTGGGGCGCTCAGGGTCTATGGCTTAAGAGCTAAGCTTTAGGGCTTGGGCTTTAGGGGCACAGTCCATAAACCTCTTGGGTTTAAGGCACGTAGAGTGATTGGTGCTGAGGGTTTAGGGCTTAGATTTTAGGGTTCGGGTTCAGGGTGTTAAGTTGTGGGGTTGACAGTCCTTGATGCACTGTATGGCAGCCTGCATCATGTTGAAGCGCCCTGCATGGCCAGATGATGGCGCAACCATACAGAAACTGCTTACAAGGGGCCACTTATCCCTGACTCGGCGAAGCTAAGCCCGAAACCCTGAACCCCGAACCCTCGGGTTTAGGGTTTAGACGGCCTAAACCCTAAACCCTAAACCCTAAACCCTCTGCCCTAAGTACTCCTTAAGCCTCCGCGAGACTGTTTCAGGCTTCCTAAGAGGGCATCACCTGACATGAAGAGCCACCCATTCTTCTGGGTCAGAGTTTAGAGGGTTTAGGGTTTAGGGTTTAGGGTTTAGGGTTTAGGGTTTAGGGTTTAGGGTTTAGGGTTTAGGGTTTAGGGTTTAGGGTTTAGGGGTTGAGGCTTGAGGTTGAAGAAGCCTCAGCGACTAAAGACCCTAAACCCAGATAGCCCACAGCCCCCCCAAACCCCACAGACCTCCAGCCCCCCCAAAACCTTCGAGGTTCTCTAGACACTCTAAACTCCTTTGAAGCCCCTTGAAACCCTGCACCCTAAACCTGAAAAAAAAAACCCAAAGCCTAGAAACCCTAAACCCTGCACCCTAAGCCCTGAACCCCGACCCCCCCTCCGCATTGTTTGGGCTTTTCAACCCTTAAGACCCTACACCCTAGAACCTTATAAACCCTCAAGCCAAGAAACCCTAAACCCTGCACCCTAAACCCTTAACCCTAAACCCTAAACCCTGAACCCTAAACCCTAAACCCTAAACCTAAACCCTAAACCCTAAACCCTAAACCCTAAACCCTAAACCCCAACCCCCCCCCCCCCCCCCCCCCAAGCGCCTTCGAAGGTGCAGTATCTCCGGAGGGTCGGCAGCTTCAAGTTGAAGACCTTCAGAAGGGGGCTTAGGGTTGATAGGGTTTAGGGTTTAGGGTTGATAGGGTTTGGGGTTGATAGGGTTTAGGGTTTAGGGTTTAGGGTTTAGGATTTTGGGTCTAGGGTCTAGGGTTTAGGGCTTAGGGTTTAGGGTCTTCACAAGGGTTTGGGGTCTAGGGTTAGGGTTTGCAGGGTGCTTTCGGGCTTTAATGGGCTTAGAGGGTTTAGATGGTAAAAAGGGCTGAGGATTGTATGGGAGCTTCGGTGCCTCTCAAGGTCTTCAGACTACAAGGGGCTTTAGGGTTCAGGGCTTAGGGCTTAGGGTTTAGGATTCAGGGTTTAGGGTTCAGGGTTTAGGGTTTGGGGCTTAGGGTTTAGGATTCAGGGTTCACCGTCTCTGAGACCTGAGGCCCCCAAAAGCCCTAAAGTCCTGAACCCTAAGCCCTACTTGGAGGCCTTCTGGGAGATGTTGGGGCGCAGGCCCCCATAGTGGGGTAGAGGCCCTAAACCCTGAAGCCTAAACCCTAAACCCTAAGCCCTAAGCCCTAAACCCTAACCCGAAACTCTAACCAATAAACCCAAAACCCTATGAACCCTAAACACTATGAACCCGAAACCCTATGAACCCTATGAACCCTACACCCTATGAACCGTAAACCCTAAACCCTAAACCCTAAACCCTAAACCCTAAACCCTAACCCCCTAACCCTAAACCCTATGAACCCTCTGAACCCTCTGAACCCTATGAACCCTACAGCCTATGAACCTTAAACCCTATGAACCCTACACCCTATGAACCCTACACCCTATGAACCCTACACCCTATGAACCCTAAACCCTAAACCCTATGAACGCTTAGGGTTTAGGGTTTGGGGTTTAGGGTTTAGGGTGTAGGGTTTAGAGTTCAGGGCTTAGAGCGGGGGGGCGGCTGCCGCCACTATTTCAGTCTGAAGACAAGCAACAGCTGAGGCGAAGTGGTATGCCTACGGCCGTCGATTTGTCCTGAAGACGAAGTCAGCCGGAAGAGCTGGAGTCGTCCTTCTCGTCACTGTCGTCGGTGTGGACCGGATCTTGAGCACCAAGTCCTGCAGCGGTGTTCCGGGTTGGCGTTGTCGCTGCACCAGTTGCCTTGAGCATCATCTCATGCAGCGGCGTACTTCGGGCCCTGACATCCGCGGCAAAAGAAGTAAACTCTAAACCCACCCTACGTATTGTTACAAGTGAGATGTAGAGTTTTCCAGCTCAGCCATAACCTTCCAGAGCCCCAAACCCTTGAGCCTACACCCAAGACCTACACCCCATCAATCCAAAACCCCTAAACCCTCCCCGAAACCCTATAAACCATCAACCCGAACCTCAAGTATAAGGGCTTTTACAATATGAACCTACAAAGGAGTAGGATTGGGGCTCTGAAGGTACAGTAGCCTAACCCCGATAAACCCTCAACCCGAACCTCAACTGAAGGCTCAAGTTCCAAGGTACCACGGAGAGGCGGCGCAGTGCAATGGTGGTCTTCCTGGCTGTGGGTTTCGGGCTTAGGCTCTGGGATGATGGTGCTGAGGGTTTTGGCGTCAGGGTTTTTGCGTGTTTTCGATTGGAGATCTGGGCAACTTGAGGAGCTGTCTGGGGGGGGGGGACTATTAAACGTCTAAGCGCTTTCTGGGAGATTCAGCAGTAGACCCTATGAGCCTGTCGTACCAGAGGACCAAGAGTGTCTCAAAATTCTGGGACCTTTCATGTGTATAAACAAGCTCCCTTATGAGCAGTTTCAAGATTCGGGACCGACCCCACGCGCACGGCAAGACGGAGCATATTGAAGGTACTTAAAGCCCAAAACACCCTGCCCCAAACCCTGAAACCCAAAAAAACCCAAACCCGAAACCCTAAACCGTAAACCCTGAACCCTAAACCCTAAAAACCCTAAACCCTACACAAAAGATGACATCAAACCACAGCCGGATGGGCCAGCAGCGGTCGGAAACGAGCTCGGAGTCTACGGAGCCCATTTCCAACGGTTTTCGGAGCATCAGCACCTGATTTCGGGTTTAGGGCTTAGGATTTAGGATTTATATAGGGTTTAGGATTTAGGATTTAGGATTTATGGTTTAGGGTTAGGGTTTAGGATTTAGGATTTCGGTTTCGGGTTTTGGTTGTTCCCTTATACCACCAAAGGCTGGAGGACCTTGCTCAAGATCCTGTACAGACATGGACCCGACTGGCAGAACCCGTTCAGGGTTGGCCCTTCGGGTATGAGGGTGGAGCCACCAAAAAGCCCAACTGACTAGCTGAATGTTAAGGAAACCGCCAAGCTTCGGAATACGAGACTTCCGAAGTCATGGTCAAGGAATACTTGTGTCCCCCCGACCGCAGCCCTAAACCCTAACCCTCAACCGCGAACCACAGAGGGAGAGGGGAAAACCCAAGTAAACCCGTAAAACCTGAAACCCAACACTGAAGCCGAGAGCCACAGCCCAAGCCTAAACCCACCATGAACCACAACCACAGGTGGGGAGATCGCTTGTATGGTGCGTAGAACTCTTGCAAGGGTTCTGGGTTGGGATGTTCCCCCTTAACAGTCCCTAGTCGGGGTTATAATAGGGGGCACTATAATCTCTATTGTTTACAAAGGGATAAAAAAAGGGGTGGGTTCTATAATCCCTATAAAGGGATTATAATAGGGGGTACTAGAAT